AGAAAAAAAAAAAAAAAAAAAAAAAAAAAAAAAGGCACAGGATCATACGATTGGGAATATAGTGGGGAAGGCTTTTAAAAAAAAAAATTAAAAATAGTAATAATAAAAAAAGAAGATCACCTTGCCAGGATGGCAAGCTGTTCAGCAGTCTAACTGCATTTCACCCACCCCGCAGCCATGAGCTGCCCCTCCACCGCTGCCAGCCGCCGCCTGACCGTCCCCGGTGCGTTGCTTTTAACAGAAGTTACAGCTTTTTATTAACAAGAGTTATTTATTGTTTATTTAACAAAAGTTACAGCTTTTTTTAACAAAAGTTACGGCTAGCTCAGCTCTTGCCCCGGTTCTGCTGCTCTCGGCCCCGCACTGAGCCATCCGGGCGTGCCGGCGCAGCTGCTGTGGCACCATCATGCTTCACAAACACGGCTTCAATCCTCCCATTTCTAATGCTGCTAGCACTAGATAACTTGAAAGGGAAAAAACACAAAAAAGCCAACCTGAACAGAAACGTTATTCAAAACTGTCAATACTCCCCAGCCCAGCTGCCAATGAATCATGGATTTATGAGAACACGCTAAAGGCATCATTAGCAGGGACAGCAGTCATGAGGTTTGGGGTTTTTTTTTTTTCCTTGGGCTTTTGTTTGGTTTTTTTTTTTTTTAAACCAGATACAAGAATGCCTAGGCCCAGTGTCACAAACCACTCTGCTTTAAAAAAAAGCGCTGGGCACTGGAGAGGCAGGGGCTTGTCTAGGACCTACCCAGTTGCATCCAGGGGACAAACGTGGACACTGTGGACAACGTACGGCAGCCTCTGCCGTTTAAGAGATCCGCTACAACGAACCCCGGGGCTGTGGCCATTTCACTGTCTGGCCACTCAGACCTACGCTAGACTCCAGCGCCAAAACCTGCAGCGGACAGCAGCAGAGAGCAATAATTAAATTCTCATCAGGTGAAAATGGAAAATATCTCTTACCAGCGTTTCTTTTCAAGAGCAGGGTGAGATTCACTGTTACCCCAGACATTCATACTGCAAAATTTTTGGTCCAATTCCTTCCATTTCTGAAGTTAAGTACCTACCAGTTGCCCAATGTCTTTCTGTTCCCACCCTCCTCCCACCCTCCCGGATTAAGTTACAGCTAGCTACTCACCCAGCTGCTCTTTTATTCTAGACGCTGGCTTATCCCACAGCATAACTTACTACCAAATCAAGAACGTTGCTGCAGTTCAAAATGCATGTAATGCACTGACGACAAAGACAAACACCACCTCGCCGTCTCTCTGCGCTGCCCACTATCCCAAACAGGCACTGCAGGAATATTCAATATTGCAAAGCTATAGATAAAAGGGATTTTAAGCAAAGAAAAGCAGATATCCAGCTCCCGTCTTGAAGGCCGGAAAAGAATGAGAACTTGCATGGCTCATGTTAAGCCTCAGATAAGAATCGCTGCCTCGAAGATCAAAGACCTCAGAAGACAGCACAAGCAGCGTGGACACGTTCTGCTCAATGTGCTAAAGCAGCAGAACCCACCGGCCACTATGAGCGACTTCCGAAGCGCCATTCCTGTTCTTCACCGATTGCTATTACCTTCCAGTTCAACACCTGCTGAGAGGGGGAGTTTGATACAAAACTAGTGAAGATTTCATCACGCTTACGCGGCTTGTAGTAAGGCTCCAAGACGACTTCCTTCGTGACAGCTAACAACCTGGATGAAGTGCGGGGGAGAGCAGACACCCCTTTTAGAAGGCTACTTTCAACATTATCGACCACGTTCACTGTCAACGGCCCAAATCTTTTCCATTTTAGAGCAGAGCAAAAGGCTTTCTGTGGCTTTTCTTTTGGATCTCACGCTTGAGAAAGCACTGCACTTCCACTTGCACAGAAATTTAGGCGGGTAAAAGGCTGGTTGCAGTGGCGAGGGTGGGATTTTGAAGATGGAAACAGCCACAAGACAGATGAAAGTTGTGGGGTTTGTTTAAACTATTCTTAGTTTTCCCAGACTAGGATATCTGTTCATCACCAAATACTATCTGCATTTTGACAGCAGGATCGATAAGAGATTTAATTGTTTGACAGCACCCTTTAAAAAAAAAAAGCTCTGACGTCTTCAGAGGCACAAACTCCTTAAATCACTGGAATGATGGTGATGTTGCTTACTAAGAAGCGAGACGACAAGAAGATAAAGAGATACGCTAAATGCATAAACACTCTTTTCCTCATCTTTCTCCTCCAGGTGTTTCACTATCAACTCCAAGTATGAGTTTACTTCCTTGCAGGTAAGGCTCAGAAGACACAAGATCAAGAAATACAAATCAAATTCGCTCTTTTCCTCATTTATTTCAGACATATTTTTTCTCAGTACACTGACTTTCTCCATGAGTTTCCTTCACATTCCAGGAGCGGGAGGAGGGGAGGAAACCACCAGTGCCTTGCTAAGGCATCTAAACAACAGGTAGGGCACGCTGCACAAAATCAAAGCCCGTAGTTGAAGAACACAGTCTTGAAAACCAATACGCATATCCTGCGGGGATCTCAGTTTACATAGTTCCTTAAATCAGCCAGCTGGATGTATGTTGAAATACCTTAGGAAATACAGAGAAAATTCAATAGATAAAGAAAAGAAACTGTGGGACTGAGGGAGAAAAACCCCAGGAGAAACAAGAAACAGCGTCTCAGCTTAAAGAGAAGGGTGAAATGTCACATTTCCTGGAAAAACACGCACACTCTAGCATGTGGAAAAGCCCAGTGACAAAGGATGCCATCTCTAAAACTTTCTGCATCACCGCCACAAGAAGAAGGGGGGGAAGAAAAGGTGGGTCGTCATTGGACAGCAAACCTGACATCCTGCAAAAAAACAAACCCAAATTCACTTCTCTCAAGAAAAGGCTAAACAAACCAAGAGTTGGTAAAAATGAGCATATTTAGGAATGCCTTCAGGCATTTAAGCTAACATGACCTAATGCCACTTTAAGTACAAAACAAGTGCTGTACTTACTCTTAACAGGCTTTCAAAGAGCGCGTACGCTCTATATCTGAAAGCGAACGTCTTGCTCAAGTGAGGTGTTAAAAAAATAATATTCACAGAACATTCACACCCCCGTCATTCCACTGGCATGCTTCATATGGAGGCACATCAGCTGTTTTTCAGCAGCTTTAGACAGAATTTTAATGTCATGTTTTCTCCTTTGTAAATCATTTTCATCTACTCTTAGTCAATAGTCTCAATGTAGGCTAATATAACCTAGAGAAACAGAGATTTTCCTATCAAGTACTGTCAAATTAAAATGCAACTCGCTATTACGATCTTCCAGAGAAGGAAGGAAGGAAGGAAAGGAGAGAAGCTAAGCTGCAAGCATCATGAATTCCCTGAGGTGTCTCACCTGAGAGAAGGCACCTTCTTACGAATCCCACCAGGCAACAGTCCTGGTTTGCTGTTTTCTCTAAAATAATGATTTTTGGGTTCTAGGGGTGTTTTGGGGTGGCTCGTTTTGTTTTTTTAACCTGGCTCATAAACTAGGTAACAGAGATAGGATGGACTGAACGTGGAGAAACTAAGCTAGTCAGAACCTGACAGACAGGAACACAAAAAGGAAGGCTCTCCAAAACAACAGACCTGCATCAAGCTGACCTGCCGCACATTAATATCCTCCAACAAGACATGATTTTTCTCATCTCTGTTCTTCCACAAGCCTTTAAAGGATCTGACTACAAAGCAAAAGGGAACGAGGCAAGGAAAAGAAGCATTTACATTCAACTTTCAGGAACCTAACACAGCCAACTACAGTAAATTGCTATTCTTTCAAGTCACCCTGGAGATAGGTAAATTCTCTCTTTTCAAAGAAAACCAACGGCCATCTCCCCCACATCTGCCACCTCCTTACTGCCCTGTGAGATGAAAATAACTCTCAGTGGGTTTCTATGAAGTTCGAACTGAAGGGCCCATTATCTGACAACTCCTGCTCAGGCCTTTGACCTGTCCGAAGCACTTATCACTTCTGCAGCCCTCGATTACGTTGCCCAGCTACTTTAAACGTTAAACACAGTCCTGTGCTTTGTGACAAGAGCCAAAAGGTGGCCAGGAGTGGAAACAGGGCAGCAGACAATGACAGACAACTAAACCCACAATATTATGGGGTCTGAGATCACTGGATCCCAAAATAAACATGCTACAAGTATTGTAACACTTGTCACAAGACATATTTCTAACTGTTCTTTTACAACCACCATTTTACTGTTTGATGATACAACAGGTGGAGGGCTTAGCTGTTCCTCCTACTAAGATGTATTCCAGCCTGACAGGTTTTTATTTTGTTAAAGCGCACACACACACACACACGCTTCACAGCCATAATGGAGAACTCTCAAGTTCAGAATCATTCCAGCAGCCTCAAAAACCGTTACTTATTTTCCTCCTCCCCCCAAAACACACAGATTTTTTTTTCTATAGGCCTTCCACTTACCTCTCCCATAGCCCGTCCTTCCAGAGCAAGCGCTTGAAAATCATGATTCAGTTCATCCATGGAACGCACCTATTTATAGATGGGTAAGAAGAAAACATGAGGAAATGCTTGTATTTGTTTTTCCTAATAATAATCATAGTTTATAGCAATTTTTCAGATACGGACTGAGAGCTACATTCCATATTACAGCATATAACAAGGTTATTGAGCTCCAAAAGATGACTTACCTTTAACATTCCCAGAAGCTACAATTTTTATAGTGTTAGATTTATACACACACAAAAAAGGAAAAACTAGCAATTACTTTTAAGACACACAAAGTCTAACGCAACTGCCTTTGCTAAGTGTATTGCAGAGACTAATATTTCACAGTGAGCTGTATGTTTTCAAGTGAGGGAATCGATGTGTAAGCAAGCGAGTCAGCATCACTTCCTTTCAGGTGAAAATCAAGTAAAGACTCGTATAAAACAGGCAGGTTTATATTCAAGTTACGTTGATATGAGAGAGAAAAACACAACGGTAGAAACAAAAAGCAAATTAAATTCAATAGCACCATCTGAAATGAAGAAAGGAGAGCAAGCAACGCCTCAAGATCAGTTGCCAGTTTTAGTTACTGTACCCACACCTTAAGAAAACCCCTGATCGCGTATGGCCTTGTCCTCATTCCCAAGAGGTTGCCGGTGCGCAGCAGGGCAGCCACGCAGCTCCGTGGCTACGCTGCGGGCCCCGACACTTGCCAGCCAAGGCGAGGCACGCAAGGGAAAGGCAGCGGCGAAGCAGCCCTTCCGGATTCACGCAGGGCGGAGCTCAGGCGCTGCGGGAGCAAGGGAGGGCTCCGGGAGGTGACACTGGCCTTGCTCACCTGGAGGACCTGTAGCTATACGTTTACTCGGGGAGTTGTGCCACTTCCTGCTTTGGATCATGATTTGATGAAAACTGATTCAATTAGAACATAAAAAAAAGCAGCAATGTGAAACTGTTAGCTAATAGGTTGCATCTGTTGAAAATGCAAGAAAACACTTCCGATTTTCATTCCCAAATCTCATCCAGGCAAGTCCTTACAGATGCAGCCGTTGAGCACACGCGCAAAAGCAAAGGAAAAAACCCAACTATGGACTTGAGGACAAAGCACAGAAGTTCAGCCATGTGCTAGGATTCAGACTAAATTATTGCCCTCCTCAGATAACACACCTGTATCAAAGCAGCACTTATTACAACAGCCACAAACGCTTACGATGGCACATAAGCAATACTACGCGCCTCCTACTCAATGTTTACATAATCCCCGCAACCCAACAGATCTGATACACCTTTCTGCTAGAGCAGGGGTAACAGTGTGTAAAACACCTATTTATGAGTAATCCCACACTCTGTTCACTGCAGTCCTTTACGGGCAGTGTTTGGTCGCGTCGCCACTGAAGGCATAGCGCGTGATTCGGGCGCAGCCTCCTCTAGGCCAAGGGAAGGAACCCAGTGATACCTGGTGGGGGATTTATGGGACAAAAACCCCAGGAACTGGCTTAGATGCTCGTGCACCACCCTGCCAGCAACCAGTGCTGTAAGCAGTTACACCGTGTTCACTGCCCTTAACCCTGACTTCTGGTACTCACGCCACTCTCTCCAGCAGAACCAAGTCGCGACTGTTGTGATTACGCTTTATTTCTCTTTTAAGACAAGATTCAATAGACCTCATCAAAGAATATCAGACGTAGGGAAAGTACCACAGGTAACCTCCAGAAGTCCCCTCCAGTCTGAATTCTTCTACTATTCTGTGACAACACTACTTTGCAAAAGATTAGTAACATATTGTTAAATTATCCAACACATAGTCATGTAACTTGCAAATCCTCAACGGCCAGCCATTCGGAATCACAGTTTAAAAATAAGGTGCCCCCTTCTTACTATATCTCAGTTCAAAGTTATTTTCAGTTGTGCCACCTTCTGTGGTGATGCTTATCACGTCAACCACAAACACAGAGAGTGAAAACAGGACTCCACCTTCCACAAACTACAGCACCGTGCAACACCAAAGACTTTCCTTTACTCCATCACTGATCTGCCAGCAAAGCATCTCGGTTGCCTCATGTGAGACAGAAGTCAGCAAGACCAAATCCTTCTGTGAAGCATTTCAAGCTGAACTCACGGTAAGCGTTGCAACCCCCAGGCATGCTAAGCCACAAAAGCTGAACAGTAGCAAATTATTATTTCAGTGAGACACCCGCGGAATAGACAAGCTACACAAAGAGATTCCATAGGTGATGTTCATTACTCTCAGTGCTAAAGCAGTGTCCCAGCAAACCACAGATGCAGCCGCAATGGCACCGATCCAGGACTTGCAGTGCTGTGGAAAGCGCTAGTGGAGAAACAGAGGCTGCTTAGTGCGTGTCTCCCAACTTCGCCAAAACAAAGAAACTCCCAAAGGTGGATGTTGTGCTATGGGAACCTCAAAACAAAGCTGCTGGACAGATACAATCATTACATTCCTAGCATAAATCAGAAGGTTATTAAGAGACTTTTGTATTTTGTTTTGGCCATATCCGAGGCCTATCAAGTCCCCGCTGCCAAGCTGAGCTCCCCTTGCAGCTTCAGTTGCACCGGCATCCCTGGTGAAAGCCCCGTGCAGAACGCGCAGGCAGCTTCTAAAGAAGAACAAACTCTACTTCTCTTCTCAGCCCCTTCTCTCACCCTTCTTTATGGTACTCTGGCATGCTACATGGCCATCCTTACTCTGCCAAACATTTTTAAAAATGCTGAAATCATGTATTTTATTTGTTCACATTAGATACAAGAACATTTTCACAGATGTCCTGTTCAAGCATTTGTCTTGAGTAGAAAAATGTGTTATCATCTTGTTAAACCAACCACAGCAGCACAAATATGTGTTTTACACCCACGTGTGAAGCCGTGCTCCCATGCTGGCCTGAATTCTTGGTGGAGAAGCTGGAGCTGGTGTAACTAAAAACGACATCATCTCCAACATAGTCAACGCCTTCAATGCAAGTTCATGATCCTCCACCAGAAACCACAACCATTTCACAATTCCCGTTTCTCTAAGAGCTACAGTCCAGTAAGCATACATAGCTCTCCTCAGCACTGACCATTTGCCCATTTCCAACGTGGAAAAGCATGTCTGCCTTCTAATAGTGCCATGATAATTGATTACTAGAGGTGATACAGAGACCAAGATAAGGGCAGAAAGCAAAGCGCTCTCCAGCTTTTTCATACCTGGTTGGTTTAACTGCACACCTAACGGAGCGCTATTATTTTCATTCCTCTCGTAAGGGTCCGAAGGAAGCTGTCCTTCAAACACGTCTTCATTTGCAAATCACCATCGTAGCCTCCCCTGCTCAGTGATACACAGTGGAAATGGGCTGCCTCCATCTTCTTCCCAAAAATACTTCACCCCAGTGACTATCAAAAGCAAATAAAATAATACTGGTTTCTCTGTCTGCTATCACAGGTCAGGTAATGGAAGAAATTATTCATTGCAGATATTTAAGTCATACCCCTACTCATCTCTCTTTCATCAATCCTAACAACTATGGATAAAAATGTTTTCCAAATCAGGTCTTCATGCCTGACTTTCAGGCACTGTATGCTCAAACCTGTATATAACCACCAATTCTGAGGGCCTTTCTCTCAGTCACGTAGTTCCTTTATCTCCACTGATCATTGTACCTATTCGTTTGTAATACAGGCTAGTTTATTATTCAGTTATCAAAGACGGTACCCAAAAGGTCCTCCTCTCATTTCCCTACTTCTATAATATTAAATAGCAACACCTCTTTACCTCATTTTCTTACACGGTATGCAAAAATATCACAGGGCTCCTTCATTTCCCTTTGAGAGAAGAACAAATAGCTTCTGAAACAGCAGAACTTAAAGCCAAAGTCATGACTTCCTACACCTTAGTACTCCAAAAGGCAGACAATACTCCGAAATGGTAATCAAACAATATAGATGATCTACCACCTCATCGGGATCTATTCTTCTTAGCTATCACTGACTTACAACGAACACAGACATATAGAGCAGAGTCACGATGGTGTAAACACGAGAAACAAGGAGGTCCACAGAGAAAGAACTTCTTCACGCATGAGCACTAATGTCAATGAGATTGGTTACCATAAAATCCGGTTCACCACTGAACCAGAGTTTTGAAAGAAATCCAGAAGACAACACCAAGATAAACTGGCTGCACAAGGAAGCGATGCCCTGACTCCTGGACACGACGTGATAACCTGATTCCTTGGAGGAAGGTGATCTCAAGAAACATCAGGAATCACGCAAAGAGAAGTCAGCTATGGTCCCAATTGCTTCATAAGCGATCCAGCAAAGCCTGACTCTCGCTCTCAGCCAGCAGCACCCCTCAGTTGCACCCCTATTTCAACCTCTTCCAGGCACGCCGCCTCCGCAAAGCAAAAGGCAAAGCGCACATCCTCGCCAACTACCAAGAACAGACCTCCCTACCTTCCTTGTCAAGAGTACGCGCTCTTTCTGATAACGCAGAAAACAGGCAAGCTTGCTTTTGAAGCCTGCTTAACAAAATCAAGGCTCTGTACATCAGCAGCACTGCTACTGAACGAGAGTTACAAAGCAATTTCATTGCCCAAGAAGCGTTCCGCCCCTTCACATAAATGCTGTGCGTGCACTCAGGAACTCTGCATCTCACCAAAATTAATGAGAATCTCATTCAAGAAGAGTAATTTCCATGCATGCTAATATATGAATGTATGTCACTATAACACACTCCAGCTTATAGCCACTTCACTGACTCATAAATAACTTCCTGCCTGCACGGTGGAAGTGCGTACCCCAAAGCGGATTTGCCCAGCGCGCTAACTACAAGCCACACCGAGAAACTGGAATAAACCCACCGGACTGCTTCGCTTCGCAGAGGCTGAAGTCAATTCAGTCTCTCAAAAGCCTCCTTAACCAATTTTCACCTTTGCTCTGAAAAACACGCAATAAAGCGACAGACAGCTGTATTGCTCATTACACAGTCGCTCTAGGTCAGACCTCCAAATCTTATTTTCAGTCTCCTGAATAAAAACCCTTGGCCTCAGACA